ATTATAAGGAATATACTTTTATATACATTTTGCAGACTTACATACTAATTCAGATGATCCCAGATATATATTCATATATCCCAGATATATATTCATAAGATCCCAGAATGCGTTGTCCTACTGCATATTGCAGTTCCATTGATTTAACCAAAAGATTTATTTCTTGTTCCATGGCTTCCAACCATCTTCTAGAAAATAATGAAAAACCTTTTTAGTCCTAACTGTATATGTTGACTGATTCTTACAGTGTGTGCATACATATACTTAAAATAGTTCTCAGTTTTTGTTTTTTTTTTTAATTTCTTATCCTTAGTAGCATATTTTACTTCTTTAGAATATTTTGATATTTGATGTGGTGATGGTCTTGTTGGGAGAAAGTAGATTAGCAAAGAGAGCTTTGAAAATGAATATTAATTATTTATGATAAAATGATAGTTGCAAGTAGTAGAATGTAGCTGTAGTTCCTGTGCTTAATCTGTATTTCATAGATCATCTTATTTTTCATTTTGAATCACATTACTAGTATGGTAACATTAAGGTGTGTTTCTCCAGATGACAGGTATCTTCTACAACCTACTTATATTCCTGTTTGCTTTCCGGCTTGTGAGCAGATTGCTTACATGTAGCAAAATTAGCTGCTGTACATGGCAGTGTTTTTTCTTTTCATAAAATAAGATCTTTTTTAAGGTGATGTTTGGCTGAGAGCTTTGAGTTAAGTGAAAGCAGAACTGCATCTGCTGGTGAAGAGTATTTTTTGTTTTACCAGCTCCACATAAATCCTTCACCACTGTTACAGCAAAACATACATTCACTAGGTAGTCAGTTTGCGTCTGTCTTTCTGAAATTGATGCATGTATTGTCCTATTGAATTTGTGTAAATAAATAGGAGTGGCCATATAAAATATAAAAAAAAACCACAATAAAAACAAAGTTTTGTTAAATTTGGTATAACAGGGTATATATCTCTTTATTAAGTATCAGACAGAAAGACCCATTTTCCTTTTTTATTAAGAACCTATTTATAATGAAAGATATTTGAAATACTTTTTCCCTATAATTAATGCTGTCACAGATTTTCAACAGATTTTTCCTAAGCTTAATGTCAATCTTGCATTTTCAAATTGAATGAAAAAGCTGTCTGTAAACATCAAGTTTTCTTCGTGACTGAGTAGATAGGTAGGATAAGAGATAATATTAAGCAACCTGAAATAAACAGAGCTACATTAAAGTTATGTTTGGATAATTTTGAAAGTTCTTCTACCCTTTTCTTTCCTTTTTGTTTTATTTTTTGCATGCTAAGTGAATTGGTTATCAAATTCTTGTTAGTTTTTTGGACCAAACTTAGGAATTCAGTATCTGTGACAAATGAGAGTGGTACAGAACTGAACAGGTCTGTTCTGTCAGAAGTTCCTTAGAGGGAGCTAATAAAGCTCTTAATCCTAACCTGCTCTTAGCAAAGTCTTTAACATCATGCCTTACATACCCAATCAATCCTCTGCTTGCTTTATGTAAGGTTAAGACTGGTGTGTGACAGGAAGAAGTGAACAGAGTAACTTCTTCAGATAGTTTCAGGCAATAAAAATTCTAAAGTAGGAGATAAAAAGGTGGTCTTCTGTAATTACAGAATACTTATACGCACATACACACTTAAACTTATACAGACATTCTGAAAAGTTAAAGGATACTTTTAACAGTTATGGGAGAGAACTTTTTTTTTTTCTTCTTAATGTAACATTCAGGTGGGTTGTGCTTTAGGCTTTGTTGAAGGGTAGAATTTATATTCAGTGCAGACTTTTCATTGGAAAAAAGGTATATTTTTAAAAACAATTTATCAGCAGTTATCAGTTCCCTTTCTGTATCACTTTCTGATTGTTAGGACAAGATTGGAATTAAATTAAATAGTGTCCAGTTAACAGTTACTTCTTTTGCTAGGTATATGTCATCCCAGTTGTGCTGAATTTAACTGAGAAAATCACAGGTTAATTTCAGTAAAAGTTAAGTGGCAATTATTAATTTGTTGCTAAAGTCAAATGAGTTAATTCTGTCAAGAGGTCTGCCTTTCATCTTGTTTGTCTTTTACATGACCTGCAAAACAGAATTGCTATGTGTCAGAAAAACACTGGCCTGAGGAAAGCTCCAAGCTTTCCATTATCCTTTTAAACAGTCAGATATATTTCTTTCTTTAGTGTTAACTCATATTTAGTTAATACATTAGAGAATCTAGTTCCTATTGGTCACATAGAGTACTTTTTTACATATACATCAAACTTGCATCAGCACTTGTTGTTACATTACCATGGTTTTATTATTGTTGAACTTAACCTTGTGCTTCATTGCTAATCTAAAACAATTCTTGCTAGCAGTCCAGATGTTTAACAGAAATAACATAGCTTTGTTTTCCATTCTAAACCAATAAACAAATTTACTATACCTTGCATGCTCGTTGAGGTATTTTATTTATACCTGTGTCCACAAATTCAGTGCATATGTGTCAGACAAATTCATAGGGTTCGAGCCTTTGCTATTTGTATCTTAATGGCAAAGTGAACGTTACCACAGTGAAGTGCTGAAGATGGATCACCAGGACTTTTCTTTTTCTACTTTGTAAATTTTTCTAAAGCTCAATTAGCCCTGAGTTTTTATTTCATATTTATACATCTGTATTACATACTGAAACCAAATTGATTTCTATTAATGCATTATCATCTGGAAAGCTATTTTTTTGCATCTTCTATTGTTAGTTCAGAACCTTCATTTTATTAACTCTCAGTATTTCAAGGAAAGAAAAATGAGCTTGCTGTTAAGCTTTAGCACTTCCTCAAGTCTGGCATGGACAACATGTGTGACCTCTGTTGTAGCACATTGTGTCTTTGTAAACTGAAATGCTAGTATTTTATTCCTCTTAGAATTTTCTGCTCTGCGTAAGTTTGCCATCTTTCGTTGTGCTTATACAATTGCCCTTATTGTGAATGGTATCCAACAGAAATCCCTAGAAGATGGTTATAATAGTAATAATAAATAATATTTAACTTGATTCACATGGAGACTACTGTCTCTCTCTAGTCACTGTGGAAAACCGTGATGTTTTGAGATCTTTTTCCTGGGAAGTCTGATGAAGAAGTATCTAGAGCTCAAATAGCTCTGTCTCTTGACCTAATGGTAAAAAACATCACCAGCCTAGCCGGCAGAAAGATATCTAATGTGAACATAAGGAAATAGTGACTCTTGAAAGGAGAGCATTCAGAAATGTGCTAGAAGTGACTGAACAGTTTCAGAAATGGTCTCAAATACTTGTGGTTTCTAAGAAATGTTATCTTTTTGTGTAAAAATTATATACATGGAAATATTTCTATTTAGGGAAGATAATAGATACTGGTTGTGATTTTAATTGAAAAGTTTTGTTTTCATTTTGGAACTCTGTGTAGGTGATCTATTTTTAAAGGTATTTTACAAAGCATATGAAGGCCATTTTCAATGTGATTTCTTGTAGTTACTTTGGGTTCAAGAAAGATGATGCAGATAGGAGGAATTAATGTAATATCTGGAAGCTCTTTAGAAATACAAATCTTTTCACTTAAGTAATAACTTTTTTGATATGAATTTGATTAAATACTAATGAATGTGAGCATCAGTGAATTAAAAAAAGATAACTTTTGCAGCAACAGGAAACCACTGAGAAGATAATCTGAGGTATGGTTGCTACACTATGATATAAGGAACCAACAGTGCAAAACGAGACTATTTAACAAGAATGTTTAAGAGCAGTTTGAATGGAAGTAGACCAGAGAGAATGATGGGGTAACAGATGGACTTTGAACAAGATTTTAGTTGTATGGAAGCTAAGGAAGCAATTTGCTGTGGGACTATATAGTGATCAACCAAGCAGAATTACTGATGTCTTCCTGGATGGAGGAAAGAGGGAAGAGAGTTGACGATGACAGCAAGATTGAACTCAGGGCTTTTGTGACTCTAAGGGGACAAATAATAGAGCTATTGACAGTGAAGAGAGGGAAAAGGAAGAATTTGGATAAAGATAATAAAAAAACCCACTTCAACTCATGGTAATTAGTATATGCTCTGTTGGCTTCATTCACAGCAGTTGAGGATGTGGCCTGTTGAGTTCAGTTTTAATGATCAGTTTGAGTTGGCAAGAAGATTTCTGGAAAAAATCTCAGCAAAAATAGGGAGAGATGAAAGACTGAGGTTATAGAACCTGGTTTCTTGCAAGTATGTCTGTATTTTGGTTCATTAAGTTGTGATGGCAGCTTAGGGAAGATGAGTTAGCTTTGCAAAAGTTGAACAGAAAAAACTGAGAGAGCAAGAAAAGATAGAAGAAACCCAGCGTAAAAGCCAAAGAAAGGTTAAAAGATGAAAGAGAGACAGGAGCTTTAAAAAGCAAAGTATTTGAAAGAATCCTAATAGTGAGATTAACTGTAAAAGAAAAGTATACAAATAAACCAAGAGGAAAATGAAACAGAATGGGTTTGGTTTTTTCACTCAGTTTAACAGAAAAGAGGTAAACATATTAATTCTCTGTGACAAACAATGTAATATGGAAATTGATTGGAACATAAAAATGACTTCAAATAATTCTCATTTTCAGGAGGATGTTAGGACACATAAAGATCGTATTTCCTCAGTACTATGTATTTTTAACTTCATAGTTCAAATTCTCTGTTGTATTTACTGGCAGAAAACAGCACATGCTGAAAATCTGTTAATAGATTGACATTATATTTAAATTATTACATTTATGCAATGTGTAAAGAAATTAAAAAGATTTTAAGAGTTTTGGAGAATACTGAAACAAATTATTTGTCTTTTGCTAGGTAATTTTCTTCCTTTGTATAAAAATATAGATCAATAAACATATATATGTGACATAAATATATATTGGTCATATAATTTCCCAAGGGTTGTAATATGGCATTATAGTCTTCAGATTGGTTTTAATGTCTAAATAAATTCTTTAATTAAATTGAGCTCTTTTTTATTTAAAGCTGTCTTTTGGGGAGATATTGCCTTAGATGATGAAGACTTAAAAATCTTTCAAATTGACAGGACGATTGACCTCACGCAGCACTCCAATGAAAGACTTGGCCACAACACAGGTATGATACTTCAAGCTTGCTTTTGACCTGGTTTTCCTGTTATTTGCTTCTGCATAGAAGGCGTAAATTTCTGTTTTAAATGTAGAAAGTCACTATAAAGTTTTGGGTAGTATTAGCTTACACTTTAAAAAGTTAATTCCTT